TTTTCATCTTGCCTTCTCACAGTACACTCTTCACACATTCTGTGTGTCCATTCACATGAAGAGTTCAATTCTGCTAGCTTTCTCTGGAGAGAAAAGGGTAGCAGAACCTCACTTGAGTAAATTTATCACAAGCCCACAAACTACTCTTGGGCTAGAGTACTACTAATCACAAGCAGGAGTACAAAAATTGACACCAAACAAAGACCCCACTATAAACTGTCCAGCTCCTACAGGCTAGATAGAAAAATAAACTATTGCTATGCCAATATTCCTTGGAAGCACTCCAAAATCATTATGATGAGAACTAATATGATACCAAGACAGAGTCCAAATTGTTTGGAATGATTTTAATGATTTGGAACAAAGGTCATTCTAGTCTGATCACTGTCTTGAATCAATTACTTTAAAATTATAAGTCTCCAGTATCTAAAAACCACACACTACACTCACAAAGACTGTCTGAGTTCAGGACCTTGTTTCCTGCTAGTTGGGGGTTTTTTATTATTATTAATTTGTTCTGTTTTATAAATATGCAGAGGCTGTGATATTTCAGGTGTCACAATGTTAAAAGTAAACAAAAAGGGAAATGAGTCATGACTTCCCGGAAGATAATACACGTAGCTTTTAAAATGCAAGGAAAAAACAACAGTTTAAGTCAAAGGATTTTAGAAAACAACCTAAACAAGTTAAAAGGAATGTCTTCCCAAACAAAGGAAAACCTTAATTTAAAACTGAAGTTTGTTTTATGACTTACTGAAGAAAAACAAGAGTTGGGAAAAACTTTAGACTGGATACAAGAGAGATGAACAAATACTGTCTTTAAACCTGATATTGTGGAAATAAAGCTGAGTAAATATAACGTGACTTGACACGTTACAGGGTTAAATGGGCAATAAACCCTGTAGGCCTCATTTTTTCAGTCCTTAAGAGAAATACAGCTTGATAGGAAAAGTCATTATGATTTTGTTGATTTAGTTTCTGCTGTGTTTTTCCCCCTGAATTACAATTTATGGTAAAACACAGACTATACATTCTTTCATTGATGTAATCAAACTAAATCTCAGTTCCAGATTTCCCTTCTGCTGCATAGGATCCATATACCACTTACTCTTTGCTAAAAAAAAAATGCCACAAACCAAAATATCTTCTTTTTCTCCCTTTTAAAATAAAGCCTACATTTCAATATTGTAATATTATTCCAGGCAGAGACTGTGTGACCAAAGGCAACTGTGCATTTATCAGGATCATATATGTGCTTTTTAAGAAAGCAACAAGAGCTCACAGCTATAAAACAGAAGCTAAGTTTTAACATAAGCACTGTAAAAAGGGAACTCTTGGTTTTAACTAATTCTCAATAATCCATTCATTAAATAGCTCCTTTAATTCTGAACAAACCCAAAGGGCTTTATAAACAAACTAGTATATAACCATATATGGATTGCTTTGCTGTCTCTCTGAAATACAGCCAACTCTTTATGTTGACGAATTTCACTATAAAGTACTTCAAAACATTTTAGTACAGACAACGAAAAGTAGCAAACTGATATTGCACTGAGTATTTAAGAAGGCAGATGTGAGTTTTAACACTGGCCTTCTGGCTGAATTAACTGCTTTATTCTGGCAAAAGCTGCCAGATCTAATGACCACAAGCGGTTAGAACCTCTGTTTTATAACTTTCTCCACAACGTAGCTCCCTCCACCAGCACAGTGCCTCATTCAGAAGTAGTTCAGAAGGAAGCATTCTACATACTGAGTCACTGATACCCATTTCCCACATAGCCATTTCAATCTACCCCTTCTAAAACTAAAACATGCCAAGAAACAAATCAATACCTCTAATTCTCTAACAAATATAAACTTTGGCATCATTGTAATTTAAGTTTGGATGAATCCAAAGCAGAATACATTTAGAGTTCAAAGTTTCTTTACACTTTAAACAGTTGTTAATGAGAAATGCTGCTTGTCAGTAGTTGAATGATGCCATGTAAGTTTTAAATTGTAGAAAGCAATTCTGACTAAAATGGCAGCTTTATTTTTTAAATTATCTTAACATTTAGGAGTTCATTGGAGTAAAACTGTGCAAAAAATTAAGTAAATAACATGTTTTTATGTGAATAGCAGATATACAAGTTGTGTGTAAATTTTGGCTCCTAGATTTTAAGGGGATGCAGGAATTATAATGCACATAGATAGACGTTAAGGTTTTTAAAGTTACCTTCTTCCCACTCCTAATTCTGTTGTATCACAGCAAGTTAAAGCTCCTCATTTGCACTGTCACAGCTATCATAATTTTGTCTCACATCTTACTGTTTTGGTCATACATGGTCCCCACATTTTGCATTAATCCTCTCTTTGTCCCTTTCTGTTCACCCAGAGCTCCCTTTAAAGCCTCTTCCTTCAAAAGCCCTCCGTAAACCCTACATTTTCCAGGAATTCTTTCTTCCTTGTCTTCATCAGTATTTCCTTATGCTCCTCTCTTGTTTTGTGTTTTGCTTGATTTTGGCCCACTAAAATATCTCCCTAAATGACAGACAATGGCTTCAGTCCTGGAACTGGATTCACATGCACAGATCCCACATTAACACAGAGCTGAGTCTAAGATGCTTGGAATAAGTGCAATATCAAATTCACTTGAACCTTACTGTTCAAGTTTCAAGCTCTTCAGCACTTCCTAATAAAGTTATTTTATTTTCATATCTGTTGAACTCCAGCAAAAAGATAAAAGTAGCAAACTGCATTACAAGGAATACTGCTAAATAATGAGGTCATACTATTCAGTTGTTAAATAGAGATGCTCTGCTTTATTACTTAATGCACCAGCTCTACACTGAGACACATAAGTATATCGATTAGAGGAACAATGCATTACAACGTATTTAAAACTTAGGAGAATAGTAAGTGGAGCAGAAAGATGAATTCATATTTATAAAATAGCATTGTTTTCAAGTACTCATGCTTAATTATAGGATTATTAGAAGATGCTAAAATGAGGCAATCAAACATTTATTATGTGAAAGTACAATAACTAGTCTAGTGTTATTATTTAAGAACAGGTGTATATTTTTTTTAAAAATGAAGCCCACTTCAATTATATCCTGTAACACCATTTTTTTTTTCATTCAGGAAATATCTTATTGCCAAGGTTTTCATTACATTTGACTGCTGCCCCACAAAAGTAAGGTAAAGCAGCAGATCAGCATAATTTAAGTGATTTTATTCAATGGAAAAAAACAGCTCTCATCCCTGTTGTTCATGCAGGCATAAGAAAGGAAGCCCACTAATCTAACAGATGGGAGAACAAAAGTACTGACAATGCTCCTCTGTGTGAGCAAACAAACAAAAATCTGAGTAACTCCCTTAAACACAGGAAGCTCCCTTGTTTTACACTGAGAATTTGTCTTGAAGCTTTCCTAGCCATAGAATTGACAATACTTTAAAAAAAATGAAGAAGAATGTAAGTTTGGACTTTATAGCTTTCCAGTTGTTTTTGCATAACAGCAATCGAGCTTGCAAGACCCTTCATGAAGACAGGTATGCTCTTGAAGGAAAACTGATAGATGGCTGCCTATTTCATGCGAATGACTACGTTATATGAAGAGGGTTGTTGGTTGTAGCTGTCTTGGTCTAAAGACATAGGCAAACAAGGCTCTTTGGATAGATGCGACTCTCCCCATGCCAGAAAAAGTGTATTTGTACCCAAAAGTTTGCAAAGAACAATTTTTCCAACTATTTAGTTGGTTTAATAAAAGATATCACATCTCCCTAACGAACCTTGTCTGCCTCAGCTATATGAAGCAGCAGGTACTGCCCATACTAAAGCTTTACTGGAAGTCCCCAGCGTTCAGCATTGTTTCCTTACAGAAAGGCTGGAAGTAGAGGGGGGGCGGGGGAGGGGGGAAATCTTTGCAAGCTTTGAAAACTCCCAAGTGTCAGAAGTCCTGCACAACAAGGCACGCCAGCCTCACTATGGACAAGTGACAATAACCAGAGCTCAGCGAGATGCTTTTATGTCACTAAAAATACAGCTGATAAGACTTGCCTGCAGGAGAGCAAAGGACGTTTTTCAAAGAGTGGGAAGGGAAGGGCGGGGGAGGGGGGTGCTAAGAAACCTCCTAGAGGCCCTTGGGAGAAAAGAGAAATATAAACAGGGAAAAATCAAACAAGAATAACAGGGTGACCTTAAAAAGAGACCTGATCCCGTAGCGCCCTGCTGCTGACCCCGAATGGGAACTCAAGAAGATGTGGCTTTTCTTTTTTCCCTTCAGCAGAGGGGAGAAGAAGAAGAGGGAGAGGA